GCCATCCGTGTCACCCCCTTGAAACACACAAGGTTCATCTGTTGAAATTAGTGGTCTGGAACCGCCGATGGAAATGCCGGTGTCATTCGTTCGCGATCACAGTGTGTTCGATATGGAACTCTCTCCCATCCCACGTCGTCTTTGCACCAAGTATTCAATCTTTCAAACTGAGACTCGATGAAACGATAGCACACCTTGCATCCAAACATTAGTGGAGCTGTGTGCAGCTGTGGAAGAAGCCCGTATCATGTGACGTTTGACATCGGGCATGGCATGTATCCCTATCTTTTAACCACATGAGAATATGGCACGATAAAAGCGTGATCTCGTAAGTTTTCCACATAATACATCTTTGAATCTTTCAAGCTTCATGATTTGATTCGGTTGGAGTCACTTGACGATGAAAATTTCAAGTTTTCTTTCTAATTCACCCTACAAGATATGATTGGTTGAACAGTGTGGAAAACACTCTATCAATGTTTTTTTGATCCACACACACATGGGTTTGATTGATCTTCCATCACTGACGTTTGATGCTGTTGATTCGGTGCTCAGCTGTCGCTCTATTAGCGTTCCTTAAGGCATGATTCTAGAAATGGGAGAAGTGTTGTTGTTTGACAACAGAACTTCATTCCCCAAATCCGTTGTCATATTGTCAATTTAACATTGAGGTCAGTCAGTGGCACTTAGCAAAACCTGTAAAACTAGGTTTGCTTGCAATATTCACGTGAGAACTTTGTGCCAATGAAGGCGTTGATCTTTTCCATGGGCAAAATCCGAAATGGGAACATTTCGGAACATTTAGCTCTCACCACACTGTACTAACATCAATCTACTGAATACAACGCCTAATCTTTTCATTTAGATACAACTTTAATTCCTTGCGGTCATGCTCACCTGGTAAAGGATATGCTGCATTTGATACATGCTATGTCTGAGTCAAGGCAATTTACTGTCATATCAAATTAAGTGATCGATACATTCCATCTGGTCGATCATACACGAAGATTGGGTATCGTTTACTGGGTAATCATATTTTCGTCTATAAATGACATGGATCTGGGATGAACGAAATGATCAAACTGCAAACAATTGAAAAAATATGCGTTGTCTGAATATGAGGAAAAAATCAATTCGCTTGATTTGTTGATTGTTTCACCGGCTGTTACCTGTAAGTTCTCATGCACGATATAAACATGTTCCTGGAATCAGATGTCTGGGCGGTAGTTTCTCTCCGGCTATGCATGTTGTATCAGACAATCGACAGGAATGGACTGCTAACGGATGAAAACATTCGAAAGTACCATTAACATCCTCTTACAAATGTATTCCACATACAACTTTAGCTGATAAGATGAGTAGACTACACTCTTAAAAGTTCATAACCTCCATTACGTCACCAGTATCAGATGAATGTATTTCCACTCACTACAAACCAGTTAATTTTCAATGCTCATGCTCTCCTATGTCGTTACCTGCTTTCCTTATGAAACATCATTTGCGAGACTGAGCAGCTTACGTACATTACCCAACGATAACTTCCGATTCGTTTGTAATTCTCGGAAAAGTGCATCTACTGACTTGGAATGTGGTGTTTAACTGAGCCCCGCCGTTCATTCAAGAAATTCGACGTTGCATATAGTGTTCTTGTGTATTTCTCTGTCGGCAATAGAACAAAGCAATGTGTTCATTCAACCATCCCCAGAATTACTACGGTAGCAGAGAGATATTTTGATTTTATACAGCGACGAATTGACTGGTTTGTACGACCAAGAACTACAACTCCAGACAAGCGGTTTCAGTAGTTCAAATATTCATCTTAATGAGACTGACAGAGCCTCAGTTAAATTGGCATACTTTCCACGTAGGTTTGTAAACGTGTCGGTCGTTCGCCCAACAAAATTGCCTCCCAATTCTCGAACTTTATCTGTGATATCAATATACAAAAATACTGAGTTCATACTTTTTCTGCTAGTATTGGGCAGGTATACAATTGATCTCGAGTGTGCTGTGCTACTGAGCCTGTTTATACCTTCACGATAACCGACATCGCAATGATCTTTCCGCGTACGTTTCTCTTAAATTCAACCGGAAAAACTGCACTTGTTCATCATTTAGAATAATTGTTCCTCCGCGACGATATATACATTCAACAAATGAGTTTTTACTAGTGGGAAGTCTTCGCGCAAAGCACCATAAATTGATACTACTTTCAACCGAGAAAAATCAATAATGAATACATTTGACTGATAGCATATCTAAGGGTAAGCATTTCCTGTATGTATGTAGCGTAAATACACGGACTTTCCATCAATATCTGAAGTTATTGAGTCAAGCCACTATATCGGTTCACTTCTTCTCGAAATATGAGCTGGCATAGACACTCTTCAAGTCACTAGGTAATTTAATCGTATACAGCGACAAAGTCATCGTTTTTCAACAATCAAAACTGTCATCGTGATCTTGATAATGTTCGAATAAATACGAAACATCAAACGGCTTGCTCGTAACGTCACGTTCAAGATACAAAAGTCACTGAGTACATGCACATAAAATAACACGGATTGCGCCATCAGATTGCAGCCTCTTTGAACCACAAATTTGATGCAAATGTTTTACTTCAAAAAGTGGCAACGTCACCCTGAAGAGCAAACATGAGAAAAAACGTTTCCCATGCTGACATATGACTGCAATCAGGTAGCAGCTATTCCCAATAGGAATGAATTGACAAATTGAATATTCTGAATTGGTGGAGTTTTGGGTGTGTTCTTTTGTCAAATCAAATGATCACTCATGTGATCTCAGACACAGAGATTGTTCTAAACTTGGAATAGATCCTGAATCCTCAAATTTGTTATCTTTGAACA